AGATAAATTTAGTATTTTATGGACGATACAAATTTTTTCATATTTCAAAATAGTGAACTAAAACATAAAAAGTAATAAGTTTAAATCTGGAACAAATATAAATATCGTAATCATTTCTTATAAATGCCATTTCCTAATGTAATTTTCCAAGATATTAAAGATCATAATGCAAAAAAACCAAATTTATCTAAAGTAACAGGTTTTATGTTTCTTAAACTATGTACATTTATGAAAGTTCTTGAGAAGTTTCAAAACTTTTTAACCAATAGTTTTATTGTTGGAATGACATATAGCAAGACTTGCATTGGCTACTAAGAAAGTTAGTAGCCGGTAGTCATTGGGTTAATGAAACACGAATTAACCTGAATATGAAGGTGAGTATAACACATTTTGTTGCACTTAATAAGTTTAAATAAGGTATGATTAGTCCAAGATGTAAATTTAACATAGTTATAGTGCTGGAGAATAGTTAATGACCCATCAATTATATATGTCAAAACATAATTAATTGATGATTTCTAAAAATAAAATTGCTGTTCACCTATTTTCTTTTTTTGTGTGTGTATTTGTGTAGGATCCTGATGGTCTACACATTAGAGTTTGTCAAGATACCAGACTAGACAATCGGATCTTGGACCTTCGAACCCCTACAAACCAGGCAATCTATTGTCTCCAGGCTGGTGTTTGTGAACTCTTTCGTGAAGCTTTGAAAAAGATGGGTTTTATAGAAATTCATACACCCAAAATTATATCGGGTGAGGATTGAATAAGCAGTACTGTTGATTTGAAATTGCCTGATATTGAATTTTTAATTATTCTTATAAAATAAGTGTCTTTTGAAAATGAAGCAAAATATTGAGTTTGAATTCAAAAGTTTTTCTAAATATTATTTTTATGTTAATCTTGCCTGTTGTTTTTTAGTGTACTGTGCCCAAGATTTTGGTTGTTATTTTTGTTTTCTGAAAGCTATTGTTGAGAGTTGATTCTTTTAAAATATTCTTTTCGTTAGTGATTAAATTCAAACTTAAAAATATTGGTTGGTAGCAGTGGAGAATATAATGATGCTTGGAGATATTTCCTTAGCATGAATTGACCCGGCATGGCCAGGTGGTTAGGGCACTCAACTCGTAATCTGAGGGTTGCGGGTTCAAATCCTCATCCCACCAAACATGCTCACCCTTTCAGCCGTGGGGGCATTATAATGTGATGGTCAATCCCACTATTCATTGGTATAATAGTAGCTCAAGAGTTGGCGGTGGGTGATGATGACTAGCTGCCTTCCCTCTAGCCTTACACTGCTAAATTAGGGATGGCTAGTACAAATAGCCCTCGTGTAGTTTTGCACAAAATTCAAAACAAAACAATCCTTAGCGTGAAAGTTACACTAAGAATGCTTATACTTATAGATAGTGGCAAAGGTTTTGTAGTTATATTCATTATATGTACAGTAATATAATTAAAAAATCTTTTCATTTTGAAAATTGAAAACTATTCTTGATTTTATATTAATGTTTAAACATGTTATTTAGTGTGGATATAGGATGGTTATATATTGGCTTAAAAATATTGTATATTCATAAAATATTTTCCTTTTAGCTGCAAGTGAAGGAGGGGCAAATGTCTTTGAAGTGTCATATTTTAAGGGCAGTGCTTATCTTGCACAATCACCCCAGCTTTACAAGCAAATGGCTATAGCAGCTGACTTTGATAAAGTCTTCACTATTGGTGCAGGTAAGTATTTTAATGTCCCATATGATTTTTTTCTTTTCATGAATAAGGTTCAGTCTTGAATTTACAGTCACATGAAATTAAAAGTTTGTTAAACATTTAAGAGTTTTTAATACACACTATAATTTTTTTTTCATTTTGTGACCAGATATTATTATTTTGTTTCAGTTAAATGAAATATTTGAAATTTCACAATTTCAGTAATGTTGCTACTATTCCAGTGTATACAACAGGTATGAAAACTATGTTTTGTGACTGTAAAGATGATGATATTGTATTGTAAACAAAAGCTTTTCTGGTTCCAGTTGGTGCATTCTTAAAAACAATGCTTTTTTAGATTTTTATTGTGTACAGCTTCCTTTACATACTTTATCAAAAATTAATACCCGACCTGTATTTAAGATAATAATGTTTTTAAATGTTCCTTCTTTTTCTGTTTCTGTATCTTGTTTCTCAGGCTCTATTGTTATATATATTGAGGATATAGTAAATCAAAATCTTCTAATTTAAAACCAAGAGAAACTGTCAATTTTTAGCAGTGCTTTTCCCTCTGTCATTTTTGCATCATACAATTTGCAAAGATCTTCTATCAAAAATTCTTTAAACTTCCATAAGCCTGAAGCAATATATGGTGTGCAGTAACTTAAATGTAAATAGCTGTTGCAATTGCATTGGAAACTCGCAAGTTGCAGCTTTATTCAAACATTTTTCCCACTCTTCATCCTTGAAATATGTTATAAGTGATAGTTCTTATTGCTGTATAACTTGTAGCTCCACACATGTGAAGCAAGAAAAGCCATAAATTAAAGAAGCCAATGTTTTTTGGTTTAACTGAATACACTTAGCAAATCACAGGTTTTGTTCTGGATTGCCACTTTCGTTCTTTTTCAATCCATACATAATGTTCTGGAATTTACATGCATTTTCTATGCTTGAAATGTGAATCTTTATTCTTTGCTTTTTCTGCTGCTCAACCTCTTCTCCTACCTTTAAATAGACAATATATTGGTCCTGCAGGTGCACCAGAAGTTGAAAGAAATATATGGGACTTATACATTGTAAATTCTAAAAGTCTATGCAGTGTCTTCTATTGTGTGTATTTGACTATTCAAATGTAAAAAAAAAAAGCAAATGCATATGTGGAAGTCTTCTTTTTTGCCATTTGATTTTATGCATAAAACCTATAATATACTAAATGCATGCCTCTCTAATAAATCCTTTAAAAGCTCTTTAACTTTAAGACTAAATTGGGTGTATCATGTGGCTTTTCTTATTTCCTAAATTTCCATAATGTTTCTGCATTTTAAATTCATTGTAAATGTTAAGAATAAATCCGCTTTTTCAAGAACTATTACCATTGCTGTACCATATTGAAAAAGTTGCGGCACTGACCTTGGGGTTTCAATAAACAAAGAAGTTTTATCCTTTTTTCTGTGTTTTACTTTTGCAAATGGTCCATTAACCTACAATATAATTCAAAAGTCAACTATTTGTGGTGTAGATTTTGTCAGGTTTTTAAAGGACCGAATTCTTTACAGTAGGTGTCTGTGACTTGTTGGTGATAAATTTCAATAGATGGACAGCACACAATCCACTTATTTTAAAATAATATATATAATCAAAACAAGTCAAATGTATATACAATAAGTCATTACATTATTGATTATCACAGTTGTATTCAGTGCTTTAAGTAATTCTCTTTTTCATCAAGGTCCATACAAGACAGATTTCTTCTTCTCTCCTCTGTTATCACAATACAATCAGTGATAAATTCACTTTAGAAATTTCCCAATATGGCTAAACTGACAATCACACAGTCTAACTTCACTAACTTACTTACTTTCTGTATCTGCATGTATTTATAACATGCAACAGAAAAATCAAGAAATATCTAGCCCTCTAGTAACAACAATATTAAACATAAGGTGAAAACTTAGAAGCTTAGAGTAAGATGACATCAACATTATTACGAAAGCCTAGCAAAACAATTAAATTGCATACACAACATATGACTCGTACAAAGTTACGTAACGAAACTTGTCAAAACTATCACTTTTAAAATAATTAATTTTTAACACTCTTGTTATGAAACTAAATTACCATTAAATATCAAATTATTAAATAAATAACTCTTAAACTGAACAATCTTGTATATCCAACAGATTTTAATATGCCAATTGATCATCCTCAACTTTCAAGTAAGTGTCAACAATGTAATGATGAGTCAAAAATTTGGCATGCAATATTGAATTGATTTTATGATCACAAATGGCTAAGCGGTTAGTGTAAAATTGTAGAGGAGTGTTTTTTTTTCTCATTTTTTAGTTCAATTGATAACGTAAAGGATTACAATTTTCATTTGGCTGAGGAATGTTTTTAATTTTTTGTTTATATTTAAGACAAGGTTCTAAATGCCTATTGCTCAGGGGTTCTCCATCAGTAGATGTAAAACCAGTGGCCACCTTATTGCAGTTTTGTAAATTATGCTGTCTTTTATATCTATTACTATTTTTAATTAACTACATTAACAAATTGGGTACCTGCTTATTTTTACTGCATTCTAATTCAACTTTCCTTGTTGTTTGTCAATTTTGATGAATGGATTGATTTTCTAAAAAGTATTTCAGGTCTTTGCATTACGTGTTTTAAGCAGTCTTTACTATATTCATTCACTATTCTTTGCTCAGCAGCTTTTGTATCTAAAACATACATCTGACCGTATGTGGGTTCCTTGTCTTTTTCAAGGTGAAGAGCAGATGAGTTTGATAAATCTGGCCTTGAATTTTCAATATAAATGGACCTTTCCCAGTACATTTTTTTTATTTTACCACCCACTGACACAAAAGCAAAGGCACTATTGTAATTGTGAACATGATTGATAAAGTTTCCCCATCAGGAATGTTTTTAGTTATTAAATCCTGCAAGAAATTTGGATACCGAATTGGATCAACTATTGGCATTCTTCCTTTTCTACACTAATATGTAAATTTTCTATCAAGAAGATATTCCCTGGTGAAGTTTTCTGAAGAACAAAACTGTTATAATAGTCCTGCATAATGCTTACTTGTATTTTCTTCAATACATGGTTCACAAAATGAAAAATTGCCCTCTGTCTTACTCTCTCTATTTTCTCTTTTTTTTCTTTAACCAGTTTTCTTTTTGTTCGTCAGTCTCATTCTTATGTTTATTTTAGTTAATCAATCTATTTTGTTCTAATTGCTTTTCTTTTTCTTCGTCAATTTCAATTTTTTGTATATTTTGCTTATGTATTCTGTCTTGCTTTATTTATCTCTTCCATCCTCAGTTTCATTTTCAAACTTACATTTGTTATATCACTTGTTTATTCCAAATGCTTTTCATTTTTTGCTTTCCTTTTAACTTTATTTTTTGATTGATATATTTTTGAAACTGTGACTTTCATCAACTGTTACTTTCATAAGTAAAACAAACTTGTTTTTTATCTACCACAGGAAATGGGGAAGAGGTTGTTCTATACAAATCTCAGTCTAGAAATATCATGAATTCGTTTATGGGCAGCCTACTTAAACAAATGATTGTCAAAAAACATATAACAAAAACTCCACATCTGTAACCATTAGTTTGTTACTGAACTCTCTCAAATACAATCAGTGGATTATATGGAAATTATATTACATAATAACAAAGATTTGATGAAAAGGAACCCACTTTTTAGAAAATAAAAGTTTAAAGACAGTTTGACTGGGTAATAACGAAAACTTTATTATAAATTTACAACATTATGCCAGGCTTTCTGTTGGTTGTAAATAATACAGTATGAAAAAAAAATCAGAGATAACTACTAGAAATTTGTAAAAGAGTGGATGTGACAGATAGGCATGGTAGGTGGTTCTGATTTTCTAGTTTATGGCTCCATAAACAAATAAGATTGAAGGCTATAAGAATTATGCTTTACCTGAGTAATATTTATATTACAGTGAGTATACAGTGAGGGATGTTAAATAAAAGAGGGAAGACCTAGACAACAAATGTCATAATTACTAGGGGAGATTGAGAATTCTTTTTAAATATTTCCTTATAAGATTAAGAACTTAAAACATATATTAAAATTTGATTTATTATCTATGTTTTGATGCTACATGTATTTGTATACAGTGATAATAAAGTCATAACACATATTTTCACTTATTTGTAGTGAAAGGGTGAATGAAACATGAGGTCATAGTGGTGTCCTTGGTGCCAACGGTGGTACTTGCATCTACACAGTATCCTTAACACCCCTGTAGGGCTGGCCCTTGAGATAGGTGATGTGTGCCCATCCCAAGGGGGGTGCCATAATCAAATTTCAATTAGAGGTAGTGGCACTGAATGCAAAGTTTGCACTGGCCACAATTTTGCCTAGGGCTGGCACTGCACCATTGTGCAGTTTCACCTTTACTCTTTGGACTCGTAGTCAGGAGGTTGAAAGTTTGAGGCTGGCAGCATCATGTTGTGTCCTTTAGTAAGACACTTTACTTCTTTCAGTCTACCCAGATGTATGATGGGTACCTAACTGTTAGTTGGGGATTAACCTGTGATGAACTGACATCCTGTCTAGTGGGCATGGGCCACCATTCTCATCTGCTTGTGGCACTGGAACTAGATTTTGAAAGCAACATCCTTGTGTGCCTTGTAACTAACTACAAGTATCCAGCACAGATACAATATGTTGAAAGTGTCTGAAAATGAAAAACAAACATTGCAAAGGATTAATAGTGACATAAAAACATCTAGATAAATCAATGTTAAGAATTTACAAAATCCATGGTAAACACACAAATTTCACTGTTTTGTGTAATGCTGTTATATATGAAGAAAAATAATTGTGTATTATCCAGCAGGGAAAAAGTATGCTTCAAATGCCTTAAATTTCATTCAACTTTCTTATAATCTGGTAATGTTTGGAGACTGCTTGAATGGGTAATGAAGAAAAACTGTAATATAAGTTTGTTAGTTCAAATTTACTCAGCATGTATAATTGTTTGTTTTAATGTAAAACTTAGTATATATAGTGAAACCAAATTATTTTTATAAATATTTTTCTATATTTTTTGTGAATTATGCATTTTCAATCAGTCTTATAAGGGGTGAAACATTGATCTTTGCAGTGAATTAAGATTTGGTAATCTTCATGTGTTAACTTGGGGCTTTATTGAGTATTTAGGCGAAATACTGAAAAAAGTATAGAAGGTAAAACATACAACAAGATATAGAAATTATTTGGTCAGTTGCTGTGATTTACCTAAACTTATAATAGAATCAACTACCGTATCACATGTGAAGAGTATATTTACTCCCTGGATGTCACTTGCAAATAAGTAAATGGAAACTTATGAAATATGTTAAAGAAGTTAAATTAATCTATGTTAATGAGCAATTAAATCTTTCTTCAGGGATATGTATGTATATATAGAGTGACTGACAGGTCATTGCTCTGCTGAATAGTATAGAAAGTTTAAATAGCCCCTACATAATGTAGACCACAAACACAGTGCTGCAGGTTTTCCAGATTCATCTAAATAATGGCACGGTATGCAGTTGAACATTTTACATAGTTCTTCTGTATGGATAGTGTCACAAGAATGGCCAAGCTACTGCTAGATTGTATAAGGAATATTACATCATCCTTTACTTCAGATAATAGGAAATGCATGTGAGAGGCTGTTTATTATGCAATTATTTATTCATAGAGACCATACTGATAAACCAAGAAAAGTAATGGATATACCACTTTGTCATTGGTCAGCATTTTGAACACAACTATTGATTGTTTATAACTCTTTTGTAATAATGTTTAAGATGTTCACCTTATTTGTATTTATACGTATAATTGTTGTTCTTGAGGAGAGATTTTGATCATTTTTTGTTATTGATGTTGTTTAATATGTTTCATGTATTTTTTTTCTACACCTTTACAACTAACGTATTAGGTGTATGATGCATATTATTAAAATTTGCAAAGAACATAACCAAGAATGATCTCAATGATATCGTCGCAGGATAGGCACACAAAACTTCATTCTATACCATTAACAATTATATGCCTTTGAATGAACTTCTGAATTACACTGTGTATTATATCAATAGTGCTGTTATTTTTTGTAAGCCTTATACTACTATATATTGATATGTTTGCCCCTGAAGAAGAAAGGTCCACCTTTCGAAAGTGCTCAGGTTATAGGGTTTTTATTCATTTCTATCAAGACTTCTTGAACCTGTATGTTTTTCTAACACCATGAATTTATTGATATGTATGTGTATAAAAATACTACTCGGTGGGTTCTCTAAGAATTAATGATGAAATATGTTTCAGTAAAAAATGATTTTTCTGCATATCTTGCATTAAAGATATATATAAGTTCGTAGTGTTGTGTTTGACCAGGAAATTTTGAACATTATTAAAAAACAGTTGCATTTGATGCATTTAATGACTTATTATAAAAGGTGTGGTGTTTGATAGGGACTGCCTAACAAATATGCTTTTGGATTATGCAGTGTTTCGTGCTGAAGACTCTAACACACATCGTCACCTATGTGAGTTTGTGGGCCTGGATCTGGAAATGGCATTCCACTATCACTATCATGAAGTTATCACTGTCATTGGGATGATGTTTGTAGAAATCTTCAAAGGTCTCAGAGATAGGTAACTAACAAAGGATTTTTTCAAGACTTCTGTTTATATTCATTAAATACTGTCACTAATTAGTGGAAGATGGGTTGTAAAATATGAACAAGACATTTTAATGTTGAGAACCTAACTTTCATAAACAGAATTCATGCAAATGAACATAATTAGCATGAAAATATATGAAAAACAGTTTTATTGAATTAAAGAGTAAACTAATGCATCATTTTGTCAAATTTCTATAATGTTTAAGAAATTTTTCATTAAAACTCAATGGAAGCAAATCACCCATCAAATTATTCGTAATCTTTAGAATATGAATTGAATGTCTTGTGAGAATCCAGAAAAATACTCGATTTTTGTTATAAATTTTGCTGCACAAAAACTGGCATTCATAGATCTCATTGATACCCCCATGTTTTTCTTCAGCAACAAGAATAAAATTATTCAACAAGAAACAAGGTTTCAAAAGAAATCATTGTGTCAGAATAAGTATTGTATTTGTAGTTATGCTGTTGAAGTTTTTGTGAAGTTTTGCAGTGGTGTTTAATGTGAGAGAGTTGTGCTTGTATTCCATTCTAGCAATCTAAAAATGTGTAATATTTGTTGATTTCATACTATAAGATAAGATGCTATTTGTACTTGCAAAATGAGTACTGTAAGTTTTAAGCAATTTAGATGTGAAAAATCTTTTGCTCTGACCTAGGTTTTCAGCAGAGATTGCTGCTGTACACAGACAATATCCAGCTGAACCATTTAAGTTTCTGGAACCAAGGTGAGAGAAAAAAAGTACAACCTAATACATATTTCTGTTAAAAGATAATTTCCAGAACCATAATAGTTTGAAAAAAATTGTAGTGTTTTATTTGAGAAAATAATACACTAAGTTATATGTATAGTCATATCACAAAATAAACCACTATGATATTGTCATCCTTTAGGCGTGTATTAATACTATTTTCTTGAGGCACTGTTTTAACACATCCATCAGGAGCCAAGGGGCATCTTTACACTACAATTTGTTGAATATTAAAAGTAAGTTCAATCCAGAAACTCCCAAAGACGGTGGTTTTGGGTGTATCTTTTCGAGACAAGTTTTTGTTTGTTAACTGATATATTTGTAAGTGAAGTACAGCGTCCTCAAGTCTTCATACTAGCTAGTACTAATGTCTACCCAATGGGAGTAAATTCAGTATATATCAATAAAGACACATTCTCAGCATCATTAATTAAGCAATTTCCAGCTTTTTTATGCTTCTGCTATTACCTTTTTATGTTTAGCTTTCAATTGATATACGAACGATTTCACCTGTGGTTTGGTAGGGAAGGTTGAAGCATCATGATAGCAGTAGGATGAGCAGACAGGAACACTTTGAAAGCAGCTACAGGCATAATATTGTACTCAGCTTGCTGCACAATATCTACCAAGGTGGTTCTAAAAGGTTCCTGATTAGTTGTGTGTGTCATTTGGAGACATCCATGGTGCTTATGCTTGGCCATTGAGCTCACAATTCACTGACGGATTTTAGTCACCTTACCATATCAAATCACTTTTCACAACCCCAATGCTAAAAGATTGTGGGAATTGTCTTCTTTTTAGCCAATAAAAATGTCCAAAAAGCTTCAGTTTAAATTAAGAAAAACTGGATTGGGTAGTTTTTCAACAGAAATGTCCCCCACTGGCTTGTGAGGGGTCTGTTAAAATTATTGTTTCTTTACATTACACATTTTTTTTTCATGTGAAGAATAAAAATACTTCTGTCCATTGTACAGGTTGTATATTGCATTTTCATAACTTCCAGAACCTCCCAAATGCATATCTGCAATGTTTTCAGTATCTCTATATTGTACATGATATTAACCCTCCTCCACTATGAATACTAAATCAGCAGTGTGTGATCATTGCGATTATTATTAAGGCTCTGCATACCTAGTGGTACAAAGGACCTGCAGAAATTCAGTCCAGGTATATCAATCCCAAACCACATTCTTGATATCATCCTACCAATCTCTAGCTTCCTCTCCGATAGTGTCAATCCACATTAGTATCGGTCTACTTCTTTTTTCGAGTTCCATTAGGTCTCCATTTAACTGCTTGCGTGATTATTCTTTCTTCTCTGTCCCTGCACATCAAATGTTTGATCCATTTCCATCTAGCCATTTTCATAATGGCATTAATAAGGGTAATTGTGTCACTTCTCTCATATGTTGCACACATACCAGTTTGTAAGCTAACTCCAAGGATTCTTCTTTGAACTTTGTTTTCAAGTTTGACTGATCTGTTACACACAATTTCATTATCTTAAAACATATCAGTGGCCTGATTAGCTTTCTTATTCTTTCAAGTTACCAATATACCAAGATATTTGAGATTGTTTACTTTTTTTGTATGAATTTGTTGTTAAGCATGATTTGTCCTGGCATGCATTTTCAAATATGAATTTTGTTATTTATGTTTGTTTTGATACCTGTCTTCAAAGTTCAATACTTTGCTTTACAACATGCTTCAGTACAATTATCCAGTACAAATATCCATCTCTGCATCTGAAATTTGCTTGTTCATTTCAGAATTCATCCAGTTCTTTTAAAATGTATTCCAGTTAAAAGTTTAGCAATGGTAGGTGTAAGTGTGATTCTTTGTCAGTTTCCATATTCCAAGTCCTCTTTCTTTAGTATCTTCATAAAATTCCATGTTTCCATTCATCAGTATTATGCCAGACCTTCATATTTTATTAAATAATTTCATCAAAATTCTTGGTGTATAGTTATTGTCCACTTTCAGCATTTCACATGCAACCCCATCAGTTTCAGATACCTTTCAGTTTTTCAACTTCCCAATTGCCTTTTCTATTACTTTAGTTCTGATTTCATTTAATTCTATATTCAGCTCATTTGGAAGTATGGCCAAGGATTGTCCCTTTCCATCATCTTCATTTACTCAATTCGTAACTTATTTGACATGTTTCTTCCATCTCAACATACTTTCTACCTCACCTGTTATTTTTACTCCATTACAATCTCTAACTAGTAAATACTTCATTGCTCTTCCATTCTCAGTGATCTTTTGAATAAATTGATAAGCTTACCTTGCCTCCATGCCATTCTTCAGCAGTGAGATTTTCATAATATTCTTGCTTAATCATTTTTTCTGGTATTTTAACTTGTTGTTGTAAGCTCCAAATTTTAACCCATTCATATTTTAATAGATGAGAGTTTATATATATTCTCTCCACATATTTTTTGTACCTTCTTAATAAGTGCTATTATTCAAATATTAGAAATATAAGAAAGGAAATGGATGAATTCAGGACTTTAGTTGGGAGAAAGGACTTTGACATTATGGGAATTATTATAGTATAAATATAGAATCAGTATGGGTGTTTATTTTTAGATACAAAGACAGTAGGTTAAAATTGGGAAATACTATAGGTTTCTTTATCAGACTCAGGATGTTGGTGAAGGCTTTATGGGGAAATCTGAACTGTTTTTAATAATGAGGCTCTGGTTATAGGAGACCTTAATTTTAGAAATAAGCTGGGACTGTATGGAGACAAAAAGTGAATGTGTTATTATTCTAGAGTTTGTAAACGACAGTTTTCTCCAATAAGCTAGGGAACCAACTATAGATGATAGTACTTTGGATTTCATATTGATTGTTGATGAGAATATTGCTCATTAGGTTGAAGTGGACAAGCAATTAGAAGGAAGTGAACACTGTATAATTAGATTTGAAGTTTTGCTGTATGTGAAGATCATGTTTAACAAAACATTAGTTTCAGATCTTAGCACAGTAAAATTTGATGCTATAAGAAATAGAGATCTTAAAAGATAATGATCTGATCAGATACCAATCACCTAGTCAAACCTTTTGTCTGAAGATGTTTATGCAAATAAAGAGATTAGACAGAAAATTTAGTGAATAGTATGAAGTTATCTGATCAAGTAGTGATAAAGGTTACTTGGTAGATGATAAATTGATAGTGTGTTGTAATTTTGATACTGAAAATGTTGAGACAGAATGTGTGGCATATAACATCATTAAGAAATCATCATAGGGACATCCAAGGCATCATAGTTGAATAATGTCATAGCATTTCATTTGCACTGGTGTTACATATGTATTGTTGTAGGCTGTCCCTACACACGTTACATATGTATTGTTGTAGGAAAAAAACGAATATTGTAATATAAAAGCATGAGTGAGATAGTCAGTGAGTCTGTTACCGTTATTATTGATTAATTACTGGGTTAGCTAGTAAATTAGTGCCATAAACACAAGAGGAAATTTAAAATGTAAGTAACAGTTTAGTTTTATTTACACGCTATGTCTGTCATTTTTTAATTAGGTCATGAAACTGCATAAGTTGTAAAAATATCGGTTTAAGAAATTAAATGCCCTCCTTTTCATTAAGTGGCCTGGCTTTTGCATAATTTTTATTGAATAATCCAAATTAACTTGCTTAATGATAGAAATCAATACCACAGTAAGTATTTTTATTCACATGTAGTGATAAACCATTTGCACAATGGTATCATACACATATGTCTGTAGTTTTGTTGTCTCTAGTATGAACCCTTCACATGTGCAGTCAAATTATAAATTAGAAAATTTAGGGCATTTTGGGTAAAATGCTGGAAAAAAGTAGAAGGTGAAAAGTACAAGGAGATATAGAAATTATAGGGCCAATTGAAGGACTAAGTGCATTCTCAAAATTATTTTCTTTTTATTATGTTTATAAACAGGATGATATGTTCATAGTGTATTACATACATTTTTTTTGGCTTACAGTTTAAGGCTGGATTACCCAGAAGCAGTAGCTATGTTACGTGAAACTGGGGTGGACATGGGGGATGAGGAAGACCTGAGCACACCGAATGAAAAGTTACTTGGACGACTTGTCAAGGCTAAAGTCAGTAGTATCAAGTATTGAACTCTGTTATGATAGTAACCAGTAATTCAGAGGCCTTAACTCTCTGTATATTGGCTCTGTTATTTTGACTGATCTTGTAATCATAGTATAACCATGAAAATATCCTGTTTCTTAAGCATATCTAACAACATTTGGCAAACATTACAAGTTTCCTTATGCTTATAAATTGTTGTTTGTCTACCTATTATTACAAGTCTATACTACACAAAAAATCGGCCTCCTAAAGGAATATCAAAACGTTTTCAGTAAAAAATATATATTTTATGTTTCATTTTCTTTACCTTAACAATAACTGTAGCAAAATCAGCAATGTAGAGTAAAATGAAAAGTTAAAAAATACAAAACTTAAATTACCATTTTCACGTTCTAGAATGATTAAACATTAACAGACAATTACATACTATTTATTTTTATAGTCAAAGCTAATAGATGTTTTGAATCTGTGTTCACTTAGTTTTCTTGCTTTACAACTGCACTTAGGCCTCAGAGTATGCCAAAAGCCATTTATCGTAGCCTACCATTTTTGTGTAATAAACAATTGAGTTACAAGCACCACACAATCGAATTACAATCATGCAACACAGTGTGCATATTCTAGGATATTGAGTATCAACAAACATTTATTTAATTGTTATTTCATTTAAGTTATCTTACCTAATAAGTTTCTGATTTTTAAATTTTAGTTATTTTTATAACAATAAAGAAAAATATATACATAAAGACAAAAAAGATAATACTTATGTCTGAATTGGGTTTTGTTTTTGCTATCAACATTTGGTAGTCCACACAAAACCTTATTGCATACAAGAAATAGAATGTCCTAAAACTACTATAATTTAACTGGCTACCTAACTACTCTTTAAGTAGGTTAAAAAAATTCCATTATCTGGTGGGGGCCAAACACCACAAAGGTGAGCAATGAAACTGATGCTAAATATTTCTTATCCTGATATCTAAACGAACTAGCCTTGTAAGGAATTTTGTGAAGAGCCATCTGCTCTTGCTATTTGAAATGGAATGTGGGTTTGACTTTATGTCTCAGAATCTTGGAGGTTATTAATGTATATTGTGGCTGAACAATATCTACAGTATACATGGTACACTCAGAAGATCATATAGATGTAGAAAGAAAATCTGAAATGGACAGTTTGGAGTGAAGAAGTGTAACATGATACATAGAAGATATAATATTGAGAACTTATTCCAATATTTCCTTTTCAAATTATATTAAAATATGAATTACAAACTGCATTTTTATGATGTGTTTATTGACATACATTGATAACAGTTGTTTAATTAAGTTTTGAATGTAACTCTGTAAAAGGGTTCTGACTTGAGCTCTTTGATCCAGTGAAATGATGATATATTTCTATAAATACTGCACAGTCTATAGATCAGAAAAGTACTTTTTAATATTTTCAACGTTTTTTGATATGTGCTTCTATTCCTTCTCCCACACCTCCGCTTCACCCCAAAAAATTTGCTTTTATATTTACTGTGAATTTTGACAACTGTACACAATACAATAACAGGAAGTATGTTTATTGTTCTTGCCAAGATTGAAATATTTTCAATTAGAAGCAAATATTTTCAAGTTAATTTTTTATTTACTGTAATTCTACAAAATATAAGTTTCAATAACGATAATACGTTATTTGTATTTTCTCCAGAAAATTGATGTACCTAAAATTCAAACTAAGTACTCTAACCATAGAGAGGAACTGCATCAACTGATAGACCTATCATGACTGGTTCCATGATTCATATATATGTACAACATAAATTGATTTGCATAATATCACAGAATTTCTAGTTTTCATGTCATTTTTCTTTTAGTTGCAAATGGTAACCTGCTTGAATGTTAAATAATTAAAATCAATAACAGCATCCACACAACGAGCAGTAGTTAAATTTGTTTTCAGCAATTTCAAGATTAATGAAGAAACCAACAAATGCACAACAAAATGCAAGCAGTGCAATAACTGCTAGAAGGGCACTTTTGCCCTTTTTAAGGTAAGCCTATTTGTTATAATGTAATATATATATATATATATATATATATATATATACACACTTGTGTGTGTGTGTGTGTGTTAGTAGTAAGATCTTGTGTTTTAGCACTTTTCGAAACTGTTGCTGTAAACTATATTCTTAATGTTGAAATTCGTTTGTTAGTTAGAGGACTCATGACTAGAAAATCTCAAGTTGGTGTCTCATACATTTGAAGCTAGATTATAAATATGAGATATTTTTGAAAAGTATAATTATTTCAAGATAACATGTGAATCATTCAGTTTGCTTTCATTGCAGCTGTGAGGTTGTAGAAATAAGTTCATTATTTTATGTTAATCCTAATATTATTAGAAATGTTTGAAGGTCACTTGTAATATAGGCTTACAACAATTTATGCCAACATATAAGTATTCAAGTTTGTAAAAGCATTAAAGAAAGAAATTAATTAATTTGTGATTGTTAAGTGGACCAGATATTGAATTCTTTTCACCAGATAATTTAAAAGAAAGTTGCTGACAATAGAACAACACTATCAATTTACAGAGTATCAGATTTGTCATTTGTGTTTTCTAATGTGCAGTCATTATTTAATATATTGGATGTTTTAATTAAGAGTGCAATAACCAATAGTTCTGACATTCTGAAGCCAAAGTTAACAACCAAAAAATGGCAACATGATGGTAAAAATGTTTTGGAAAAAAATATTTTTTACTTTTGGTTTCCTTATTTTCTGCTATTTTTAATGACACTGAAGTACACATGCAAGTAATGTTATTCATCATCATTATTTATTTTATAGCTAGGAAAACAGCAGAATGAATCTTGCACTTTTATTGCATAAGTGAAAAAGTAAACAAAAATGAACTTTTCTGTGTGTTGGTGTTTGTTTTGTAAAAGTTTTCAGTAGGAAAAAAAGTTTAAGAATAACTTTTTTATAATTAGATTGTTACATCTATTGCATAATAAGTTATATGTTTTTTTGCTTTCATTCTATTTTAAAATAATCACATAAAATTCCAGAAGTGTACAGCATAAGATGATATTTAAACTAAACTTCATTTTTAAGAAGACCATCATTATTTGAATTCAGAACATTTCTTTTTATTGTATTGTTACTGTTGCTGATATTTCATCTTTATAATGGGCAATAATATTAGGTTGTCAAGAAATTAATGTCTTATTTTGGAACACTTTCATTAATGACCCCAAAAAAATGTACATCACGTATAATAGTTAAACAAACAGCCTAAATGTCACATTAGTGTAGCCTATATAATGTGTAAAGTTTAGTTTACTCTAATCCAGCATTTCCCAAACTATGGGTCGCGACCCACTGGTGGGTCACAAGTGGAATGTTAGTGGGTTGTAAAAAGTTTTACTAGAATTACGCATTAGCTTCGATTAAACGCTGTCTGTCGAGATAGTTCAAGACTCGGGCTTTCATTGCCAGGCTGTTGTTGTATCAAGCAGTATGTTGTTTTGACGAGCTTAACAAATCAGGGTTGGTCATGCTCTCAATTTAATCATTCGTCATCGTAAAAAGGAAATCAATTTTCACCTATTCATACAGTACTTTAGCTGTAGTACTGGTTTTATCAGTTGATTGCAGAATTTTAACTTTTGATTATAGATATCTGTAGTTTTTTTATATTTCTAGGTATCCTTTGATTATATGTAGATATAATGTGCCCCCGGCTCCTACGCCTATGCTATTTCAATCAAAAGTTAAAATTCTGTAACCAAAGGTTAGATATCTACTTACAAAGGATATCTAGAAATAAAGAACTATAGATATCGATAATCAAAAGTTAAAATTCTGCAATCAAAAGTTAGAAATCTACAATCCATTGTTCAGATTCTGCAATCAACTGATAAAACCGGTACAACGCTGAGCGAGACGATAACTGCTTCGAGGCTTAATGAGAAGGAATGAAAAATATCCAAGAGAAAAAATGGATTATGAACCCCTTTCAGCCTGACATAACGAGTGGGATATCGACAAAAGCTGAGGAAGAACTTTTTTGATTTATCTGAGGATGC